CGTACTTATAAGATTTAGTGAAGTCCCACTCAGCCTGGGCACTTAGTCCCTGAGCCAGCACAAGATAAGCCAGGGAGGCAAGAGGAAAAGACCTAGAGCTGGCTGGGGCTCCCAGGGCCAGAGCTGAGAGTCAAGTCCTTGGCAAAATGTTTCCAAGTTTCGATTTTACAGATGGTCCAGGTTCTGCTCAGGTCCAGCCCAAGCTTAACTTCAACTTGGTGACAACAGAGGGTGATGAATGAGGCAGACAAAGAAGGCAAAGAGACGATCAGGCCTCACCCTCACAGCCTCTTCCCAAGGGATACCAAGATAAGGGGCACACAAACAACAGTTCCTGGGCAAGACAGTCTACAGAATAAATTACAGGTCTCCTGTCACCATAACTGACTCAGTAGGTACCTAAAATACTCAACAAGTTCTTAACAGGAGATAAAACAGGGTTCCAGATTGTCAGTCCAATGACTGACCAAAGGACCGACCTGGAATAACTCCAGATGCCCGGAAAACAGAGGAGAGTTCCTAGAGGTGGAGCGCAGACTCTCTGAAACTAGAACCCAGAGGAGAGCTCCTGGGGGTGGGGGTGGGGTGTGGAGCTTTCATTAGCATCTATAAGACCACAAGAGGAAGCTGAGCTTCCAAATTTGATCAAGTTCTTAAGAGTAGTCATTGCAACAGCTCTCTGATTGTGGGCATGAAGTGTTATAAAAGAATATCACCTTCTCCTGTTTCATGGGCTTGTACCCAAAATTTGCCCAATTTTGAAGAATGCAGCTTAGGGGGCTGCAGGTGGGAACTGAATTAGCATTACCCATTGTTTCAGAATTTAGACACAGCTGGTCAAAGTATACTATGCTGCAGCTAGAATCAGATTTCAAAACCAAAACAAGCCAAGCCAAGAGAACTTCCCTGAACAGATCACCTAATTCCTCCTTAATATCCAGCGTCTTCAAAACCAAGACCCTCACAATGAAGGCCAGACCAAGGCCTCCTTTTTTGGAAGTCACGTGGGGCATTCCCTGCCAAACCAAGGCTTCCTTTCGGAAGTCAGACCAAAAGGAAGAAGAAATAAGAAGCTAGTTACTTGTACTGAAGTTACTCACCAAAAAGACATCTTCCAAACCCAGAAACTGTCTCTTTACCGCAAAGTGAAAATATGCACCAAGCTGGGAAAGAATCTCAGAACAGTCCCAGGAGAAATGCTCCCGGCAGCTGCTGGACTCGTCCACAGGTTCTCCACACTGGCAAGAGGCTGACGAATCTTGGGCAAAGGGGTCCATCTGGACTTACCTCCTGGCTGACTTGCCAAATTGTTTCTGAACCAGGTTCATTTTTGCCTACTGCCCAGACAGCCAAACACTGAGACGACGAGATTGCAGCAGAGAGAGGGTTTACTCACAAGGCAACCACATGAGGAAGTGAGAGCATGAGCCTCAAATCCGCTTCCCTGAAAATGGGGACTCAGGGATATTTATGGGATGGGGGGCAAGGTGGTCTGAAATGTGGAGAGATGTGATGGGAGGTGATTGGACGTGAGGTAATTGATGATTTGCACAAGCGTTGTCAGACTCCATGCCTCTTCATAGGATGCATGCTCACAAAATGGTGGCTTTAGCATGATCTGAGGGTGGAGTTTTTGGCCTCTTGATGTCAAAAAGTCACTTATCAGACATCAGTGTGGGCCCAGTTGATGAGTTGGTGGTCTCAACCAGCCTGAAGTGGACAAGGAGTTCTAATTCCTGAAGAACAGCTCACACACCCATTACCATAGTGACCCAGGCTCCAGGGAGATGGTATCCATAGGAGCCTGGTGGGAGGCAGATAGCATATTGCCTAAGCAGCACATTAACGCTGGGTGGGTTAAACAGCTAACAGCTGTAATTACTAATTGCAAAAAGGAAAAAAGACTTTAGTTCCTAGCTACTTAATCATCAGTGGCTGTTTGCAGGTTTCAATAATAATATAACAATAATAATGGCATTTTTATAAAAACATTGTATTTTACATATTTCCTCTCAACTTTTAGTTCACAATACATATACACTTGTTACCTTTTCGTCTACACTGGAGTATGCTTTATTGCCAATTCTGGGTCACTTAATACAAAAAAATGTGCCAAGTTTTCAAGTCTCAATTGAATTCAAAACCTTACTCTCAGGCACTTGCCTGAGAAAGGATTTTGTTATGATGATTGTTTATTTGCATTCATAGAAACAATAGCCTAGCTCGGTTCAGACAGGCAGCACAATTATTTTTGAACAGCTGCCATATGCTATGTGTGGGAGTGACACACAAATGAATGCACTGCCTTCCTGCCCACAGTCTAGCGCAGGAGAAAGGGAGCTACAGTCTAAAGCCCTTAAGTTTGCGTTCCACAGCAGTGGTCCGGGTGAACATGCTTCATGGCATAGAGGAAGGAGAGACCAATTCTACGGAGGGGAAGGGGTGGAACTGCGAGAAGGAAGCGCACTTTGCAGTAAACCTCAAAAGTTGGGTTGGATTTTGACAAGTAATTTTGACTGGCAGGAACAGTATGAGCCAAAGGCTAAGACACGTTCCAGGAAATGTGAGAGTAGAGGCGTACGCAGAGCGGGCGTTAAGCGTCAGCGGCATAGATGTCTCCGGGCTGGACCGCGGAGGCCCCTCGATGGAAGGCTCAGGCCTCCGGTGTTTGCGGTAAAAAGAGCGGAAGAAATCCACCGGTGATTTCTGATCACGTGATCGACGACATCGTGTACACACAACTGTGTTACAGAACATCCCAGGTTGTGTTGTGCTTGTTTGCTTATATGGTTTATAAACGTGTTCCACCAAAAAAACCGAGCTTTTTTGGAATGAGATTATTTCTTCCTCTTCTTTATGGCCCCAATACCTAGCGAAGGGATTGTCAAAGAAAGCATTCAATGATTGTAAAATTGGTTTTAAAAAGTTATTTCTTGAGAAACCACTGTGAGCCGGGTTCTTACACGCGCTATTTCAGCTGCTCTTGTAAGGTACTTACTGCTATCCTCCTTCAAGCAATGAGAAAATGGAGCTCAGGCAGCGAGAGCTGCGTTCGAGCTCAGGTCGGCTGGCCAGCAAGCCCTGCTTTGCTTTCTCTTCTCTGCTACTCCACATTACTTCCTAACAGAAATTCTCGTGCTTAGAGTGAATTTCTGAGTTCTGAGAGTACCTTTACTAGAAAATTATTTATTGTTTATCTGAAATTTAAACTTACCTAAGCATCTGGTATCTTTATTTGCTCAATCTATGTACAGTTAGCTCTCTCCGGTTGCTCCGGCTGTCTTCCTTCCCTTCCTCACTTTTTCTTCAGCACTTCCACATGCACCTCTAACAGGTTGGAGGCGCCCAGAAGTGCTGTGATTCACTGCGCTAGGTTACTTTGCAGATTTAAAGGAACATGATGGAGATTCCTTCATTACTTATCTGCTTTTAATGCTATCAGATGCCAGCGTCTTTGGAAAAAGAAATGGTGACTCTGCTCTTGCTGTTGTTTTTAACAGATAACCATATGTAATATAAATTCCTTCTCAGGGTATTTTGGTTAACATGAGACCCATCTTAGACTTTAACTCTGTGCTTAAAAAAGCTGCTGTGGGGCACACTGAAAAGGGATACCATTGTCTGCTTCCTGGTGCTCGTAATGAAAGTTTTTATTCTATTTTCTTACCTATAAAAATTACAAAATATTTCATGAATATAAAAATATAGGGACTTATAATAAACTATACATGTACTTCTGTATCTTTCTTTATACATTCAGCATTGTTTTGAGATTTATTTGTATTGATACATGTTGCTCTAATTCATTCATTTTTCATGACTGCATAATATTTCACTGCACAAAGGCACCATAATTTATTTACCCACTCTCCTGTGGATGAAATGTTGTTGAAATGAGCATTCGTGTGTATAGATCCTTGTACACCTGCAAGAGTTTCTTTAAGGTACATAAAATAGACTTGCTAGTCCACTGGGTATAGGCATCTTCCACTTTGCTAGATATTGTTGGATTAATCTCCACAGATGGAACTTAAAATGTACATTCCTGTCATGTTCGAAAGTTCCTGATACTACAAGTTCTCACCAAAACTTGAAAAAAATCAGGCTTTTAAAATATATGTCGGTCTGAATGGGTCTAAATTAACATCCTTATTTTAATTAGCATTTTAATTATTAATGAGGTTGAAAATTGCTGATAATACATTTATTAGCCATTCAGATTTACCCTTTGTGAATTGCCTGTAAGTAGCCTTTGCCCATTTTATGACTAGTTTTCTGCCTTTTTCTTATTCACTTGAATAAGCTCTTATATATTCTGAATATAAATAACTTTTATATGGTTTGTAAATGTCTTCTCTCAGTCTGTGGTATATCTCTTTATTCATGTATTACTGTATACAGGTTTTTAATTTTAAAGTTGTCACATTTATTAATCTTTTCTTTTATATCTTGTGCTTTTTGTTTAAGAAATCATTAAGAAATCTTTTCCTAATCCAAGTTCAAGATATTTTTCTGTATTTTCTTCCACATTTGTATATTTTTGAATATGATGTAAAGTAGGGATAATGTTTTTACATATGAATAATAAAATGTCTCAAAACTATATATTGAACAGTCCATTTTTTCCCCTACTAATTTTTAACAACACTTCCAAGAAACAGCAAGTGTCCGTATATCTGAGGATCTGTTTCTGAAATTTCTACTGTGCTCTTTGGCCAATTTCTCTATGCCTGAGCTAAAACCTCAAGGACCAATCAGTATAGTTGGACAATAACCATGCTATACAGAAGGATGATTTTTCCCAATGATCCTATTCTGGAGAAATATCATATTCAAGTGTGTTGATGGTTCTCATTAAATTAAAATCCATTTGGTACTAATTGTGTGGTTGACAGAAGACACCAAGCACCTCCTTCTTCCCTCCAGTTCTCTCACTTTTGTACTGTAAAGAGGAAATGAGATTCTGGGGTACAAGTTCTCTTTCTCTAAACTCCAGCTTTGCGAAGAGTACTTAGCATGCTTGAAGGTGACCGCTGATCAACAGCGTGGAATCAGGCGATTAATATTCACAGAACACGCCTGTGCCCAGTGACATGATTGTAAAACATTCTGGAAGAAAACCTTGTGGTGCTTTCTGGGAGCGGTAAGTGTTTCCAATAAAACCCCACTAAAGAAGGGAGATTAGTGTCAACGGTAACGACTTTGTGTATTTCATCTCACTGTAATTTTGTACAAAAATGAATCTACTGTACGTAAACCTTTCTGTCTTTGAGAGTTGTTAAATTTTCTTTAATTTTTTTCCTCTTTTGCTAGTTATTTAGAAGTTTACATCCATTATTGGATAACTTTACATTAAAGATACACATATGTTTCATTGTGAACTTCAACAGTTAATGAACACTTGAGCACACGGTTACCTTCTCCTCCTCATTGCCTAGGATTTGCAGTGGCATCTGGAATTATAGGTCCAAATCATTATTTTTTCCACTATGACTTTTCTTCTTCAAAAACATTAACATTAACAATAATTATTTAGGAAATTCTAAAATTTATTTTAAATTTTATGTCTTCCTCAAATTTTTCCATGTTATTAATCTGATTTATTTTAGTTTACTTTTTTAACAGGTTTATGGAGGTTTAATTGATATATAATAGACTGAACTTATTTAAAGTGTACAATTTATTAATGTGTATATATGTGTATCTATCACCACAATCAATATAGTAATCATATCCATTACCCCTAAGCTTCCTCATTCTTTATTCTATTTGGATGGCTTACATCCTTGAATGGAAATTTCAAAACAAGATTTCTGACAATGTTACCTAACCATACAGCCTTCACATGTGGCTTGTAGGAAGTTCACGGTTTCCCATTTAACCTAGACTCTCGTTTATCAATCTGGAGATTCAGGCAAGATTGGGATTCTCCCCACAATTATTGCTCCATCCCCTCCCTCTCATCTTCATCTCATTTTCGGATTTGGGTGGGAATGGCAGGGACAAGGGAGAATTAATTTTTCCTTCTGCTTGGCTTCCCCTATGTCTGTAATAGACAGTGGCTGGTGTTGCTTCCTCTCTACTGTTTTTTTCTTGCTATATTTTCTGCAGAATTTACTCAAAATGTCATGTTATTGGTGGGACGCTAACTTCCCTCAGAGGTAGTCAGGGTCATTCATATACTCAGGAAATGACTCCAGCATTTCCAGGGTCTGGGTAACGCTGTTGTCAAACTGGATTGTCGGTGTCAGAACTTGGACAGACCTGGCAGAAGTGCTTAATAAATTTTTGTTGAATAAATAATTCGTGAGTTCCCATTAGAGGAGGGGCCGAGGGCTTCACCATCCTAGGGTTTCTTACACTATCTACGAAAACGCCAGCTCATGAGAAATGCCTCAATTCATCTTTGCTACTTCCCTTGTTGACAGGTTTCTGATGAAGAAGTCTTAGTGTTTTCTTAATTAATTTCATAGTCATTCTATATCCAACAGTTACAGGGTTTTTCTTTAATTGAAATATAAATAGTATTTAGTAAAACATTGCTGATCAATATAGAATTAGTAATTAGTAAGAATTGACATGCACTCTCAATCATTTAAATATTTTTAAAACACCCAGAAAGTGTTTTTAATAACTAAATGTAATGACGAATGTTTGCACAGATCTGAAGTTCTCTCTGAAAGCGTTAATGTTCAGCCTGTGGCGTGGAGCCCTGTGGACACGCACATTCTCTTTCCAGTGGAGCTTTGCAGGCAGTGCAGAGCCCTCTTTCAAACACACTACCATTGCTGTTAACTGAAGGCTACTGGAGAAGACAATGAGGCTTAAACTGGTATTTGTGTAATTAGTTCCAAAATGCGTCTTGTTAATTGTGTGAGAGATTCAAAGGGAAAAGGGACAAAACTCCAGCTATGGTGTTAAAATAAAGACCAGCAGACTATTTCTGAACTCTCTTTTCTCAGTCTATTTGTTCCCTGTTCTCAGAGATTATGTGAGCAATATTCTTTTCTCCTAAGCTGCTCAGAATCTAAGGAATGAAGGGAACAGTCCAAGAAAATGATGCTGGAGATGGGAAGCTCACAGCAATAAGACATCTGGAATCCAGAAGACTTTCCAACTAGAAATCTAGGTGGCTCAAAAAATATAGTGTTTTATTGTTTAAGCATACTTCAGTGTGGAGGCTATTAACTGCCTGATCTCAATGGAATATCTTTTGGAAGCTAGTGTCACCCATTAATCATCATTTTAATAAACGCAATAGTGATACAATTGTAGAGTTTGTAACATTTTGTACTTGTCCTGACAAGTTTGAGGATGAGTTTTATCAGAAGATATACCAGTTTATTTTTTTCCCCCTCTTCTTCATTGGAACTCTTACTCAGACAGATTTTAAGTGGGAAGAACCATTCATCATCAACAAGGATGAGATGAGAGTCTAAGGTGTGTGTGGCACATCACTAGGCCACAGGTGCAAACTGGGATCTTGATGCTGCTCACGGCCCCCTTGCCAGCATCCTGCAGAACGCTCCAGGCACAAGCACAACCTATTCCTCTCTGGAGAGTTGACTCTGACTTTCTCCCGGTCTTTCGCCTTGTTTACTTTGTCAGATCAGTGTGAGTTGTGATGACTCCTTTTACTCTTTTACCTCAAGACTTGATGCAGGTGAAAAGGACCTGCGTCTATTTCCCTTGTGCTTCTGTTTCCTCTTTATGAGGCTTTGGAGCTTACCTTTAATTTCTAGAGGAGTAAGAAGAAATACAGAAAGAGCAGTCATCCTTAATTTCTGAAACAGAACTGGCCTGACCCTCAGTTTCCCTTCCTCTGGTTCTATTCACATCTAGTCTGACATCCAAAAGGGGATGGGAGACTCTCTTGGCCCCATCTACCATACCAGCCAGCTGCACAGGGGAGAGAGTCGTAGAAAGAACACCGCGTAAGGGAGAATTCCAAGAGGAACAGAGTTCTCTAGAAAGTGTTTGCCCTGACGCCCTTCACTAAGTCTTTATGACCTAGCACAGCGTTTCAGGCATATGTCTCTTAAAACTTCACTTTGCCCAAGGCTTACATCTGGGCTTCTGCTCCTGGGGAGAAGGTGCAGGAGGGAGAGTGGGAGGCCAGCGTTGGTTCCTTGGTCACTTCCATTGCTGGTCAGTGGTCCACGCTGAGTATTTGAGTACAGAACACATGTCAAGTCTATTGTCTATAATTTAATTTTAAATACTTAAGTGCTTTAAAACAGAGAGAAACTGTGTACAGTTTATTTAATACATACCCTAGGAGCAGGAGTGCTCATGGCATCAGTGGTTCTTCAGCATTTGAAAAACCCTCTTCTGGAGTGCACGCTCCAAGGACAGCAAATCCTTCGAACATTGCCCTCTAAACCTACATTAGAGGGCCATTACCTGCATGAGGGGAATTGGAGGTTCTTTTCAATGGTGCACTGAGTGGTGTTAAAAATATGTGGATTGGCTAGACTACAGAATAGACATCTCTAGAATAGGATTTATAAACATGGAGAAATCAAAAACTTAATACCCTTTGAAAGGTGCTCTATTCCTAGGACCCACCTGTTCCTGGTCCCTGCAACTTAACCAGGGATTCAGTTGACTGCCCTGAGCAGAAAGTTGAAAAGTTGTGCCATTAACACACCATCCTAGCTACCTTGAGTCACCATTTTGTGCAAGGGTGCTCATTCGCATGCCTATAAGACAGTGAGCAGGACTTCAGAAGAGGCTGTAAGACTGTGTGGATGCTTTTGTGACTGCTGGTCAATTGATGTTTGTATAAATAACAAAATTCTATCTAAGACTTGCTTTTCTAGATAATATGCCAACTTGGTAGCCAGATTACAAGGAGACGGAGCTCCACCTCATTGTTGGCGGCTACTGGCATCTACCAAAAGGACTGGATGATCGTGAAGCTCAAATAGGCTCGAGTCACTTTGCAATACTAAGAAGAGTACTGATGAAACAAGGGACAACAAGCTCTAATATTCTTGATAGGATGGCCATATAATTTATTTTCAAACGGAGACACTTTTGATAGTGAAAATAGGCACAATTAATAATTAAACCAGAACAATAGGCCTAAACCAGGACATTCTTGTGTGAGGATTCTTGCGACCCCCCAGAACAATGTTACTTGTGGTGACTGTGGTTATGGAATTTCTCTTGATATTAGGAAGTCCACGAGGTGTCCACACAGGGAAGTAAAAAGAGAGAGCTACACCAATTATCTGGAGATATAAATATGTATTTACGTGAACCACATAAAATTGCAGTTTTGTAGGTCAAAAACAGTAGACTATCAGCCAGGCAATGATTGAACTAAATATTACTGTGTGGAAGAAAGTTTGCGTTGTGAGTTGTGGCTTTCTTCAAAGAAGACATTAGGTATTTTTCCTTAACTCTATACCTTATGCTATCTTTATAAACAAAGATAGTCTATTTGCCCAACCTTTACATCTCAATCTTGAAAAATACCACTTTAAATCTAAAAAAATCACCCAGTGCACTCTCTTAGGAAGACATCGTTAATGTACTTTTGAAGCAAGGTGATTTTTAAGTGTGTCAAGACAAAGAGACGGGCTCTGAGATGCTGAAGAACAGCTGCACAATTGGTTTTCTGGACATGGGGCATCCCCAGGACGGATGTGGCATGTGGCGCTTCTGCTTGAGGAAGCTTCTCTCAGGGATAAGGCAGCGCGGGCTTCGCCAGTGAGAAAGTGCCAGGCCTTGAAATGGGAGCAAAGGGACTTGGAGACTAAAATAAAACCCAACCAAATGGTGGAAACATGCTCAACTCCTTAATTTATCTGATTAGAGCCAACAGGCGCCACCGTGGAGAACATTTGCTCCCGTCCCAAATCCATGAAAGCAGCAGTGGAACTATTTCTTGGCTTGGCTGCAGATTGATGGGGGATGAACTAATGGGGGATTTGGTTTCAGCCTGGAGTCACTGTGAAACGGTGACAGACTGCCATCACTGCAAAAGTCTGCGAGCGTCAAGTGCTCCCCGGGGCACTGGAGAAGATGTCCCAGTCTCCCGGGAATGTTCCTCTAACCCAAATCCCAGCCCAACCCCAGCTCCTGCCCTAGACTGCTCCGCTTTAGTCTTTTAATACAAGTGCGTGGCTGCTTAGA